AGAGAGAGAGAGAGAGAGAGAGAGAGAGAGAGAGAGGTGTTGTTGTTGTTTCATACCATTTTCTACTAAATCTAAAACAACACCATTTTTCTGGTGGATCTGGAAACTTTTCCATAAGGCTCTGCTGAGCGAAAGGAGAAATGTTTGTCGTGAGTAACTTCACAGGCAACGCTGACGATGACAAAACAAACCAAAAAAAAACAAAAAAACAAAAAAACAAAAAAAACTCCTCTATGGCCTGTTCTACAGACTTAAGAATGAAAAGAATGTAGATAAAACAATAAAATAACGACAATAATACGTAACATTATCATTACATTTCCATTTCCATGGATCGATGAGTGCCAGGGCGTGGGGGGGAGGTAATGATTTACGGCCCTCGCAACTCCATAAGGTCATATGAGCGCGCGGGAAGCATTAAACATTTCAGTTTTGTGGGAATTTTTTAATATTGCCCGGGTGGCGGCCGAAGCCTATTCTTACCGATTCTGGACCACCAAGAGATCTTTAACGAGCGCAACTTGCTCACAGAGCGATAATGCACATTCATATATCAAGTTTATAGTATCTTTCTCACTGCTCACCGTGGAGTCATTAAATGCCTGCCTATGAATTAAAAATGAATAGATTGTGTAGCTCCGTGTGGGCCCAGGACATTCCGCGGTGCACACAGCTAAGTTATAGTTTTACAAGATAATCAAAGTTCAGTATTAGTTCTGCTCGTTTTTTTTCGTTTTTTTTGGTAAATGTGTAACGGCGCTCGCTACTTCATAAGTTCATAAGAGCGGACGGGACACATTTAAAAATTTCAGTTGGTAGGACATTTTGAATTTTTCCCGGGTGGCGGCCAAGGTCTACCCTCATCGATTTTAGACCACCAAGGGATCTTTAACGTGCGCAACTTGCACCCGGGACTTCCAAGATTTTTCGCCCTTGTCCGAGAATGTTAGGTGTAGATCTTTCCTACCAGAAGATCAGGGGTGTGGCTTAAAGACAGCAGTAAGGCTGAAGCCATTGTAGACCCGGCTCGTTCCGTTTTTTACCACGTCGTTCTTCCGCCGTGACGGGGAGAAGAATTGACTCGGCGGAACTGCTGTGTGGCGCCACCAGCGACAGGCGTGGATGGCCATAGTAACAGCCGGCGCGGCACGGCATTTTGATATCATCGTTTCGCCTATTGTGCAAACCGTCCGGCTGCCGGGTCGACGGGTAGGAAAGTTGGAAGGAACAATACTTTTTCGATAATTTACAAAGACAGTTCTTTGCTCTTGCAACTGATGAAGATGGACCAAGTAAAACTCTTCAGGTGAAATCACTTTGCAGAAATTAATTGATTTCTCTCTAAGATCGGGTGCACGCAGTTCAAGAAAAGCATCAAAAGACTGTGTCTTTCTGAGGTACTGCTGAAAGGTCTACAGGTGTTTGTGCAGTTGGGGCGTCAGATGATGGTGTTCTTCATACAGAGTCTCCTTTTAGTTTAGTTTTAGTAAGGTTTTACGGCGCTCGCAACTGCATAAGGTCATATGAGTGCCCCCACAGAGTCTCCTTCTGTTTAAAGGATAAACCGCGAAGTGTCGAGGACTCCTTCTTTCTTTCTTTTTTCTCATCCACCAGATCAGAAACAACAATCTGTTTCGTTTAGTGGCCCTCGCCTTTCTGATATGAAACGAGTGACGTACACAGCCGTCAAACGGGCAGAAAGTCGTGAGTAACTGCCCTCTCGCCCATGTTGATGTTTTAGATTTAGTAGAAAATGGTGATGTTTTAGATTTAGATTGGGGCGTCGGTAGCCTAGTGGTTAGGCTCTCGGACTCGCAACCGTAAGGTCGTGGGTTCGAATCCCGTCAAGGGCCCGACGTTGTGTCCTTGGGAAAGGCAC